TTTTTTTTTGGTTGGTTGTTGGCAATATATTTCTATATTCCAGTATACACGTAGAAGCACTTTAAAACCCAATTAATTTTTTTTAGGACTGCAGCTCATTTCATGCTGGTGAACTTGCAAGCTCCATTAGATCAAAAGGAAAGAATAAACTTTTTGATGAGAAAGGAGTCTTTGGTCGTGTCTGCAGACATGACTTCCCCAAAGGATTTCATAGCATCAAACATGGTGAAAGGTGCATTTCAGTAATTAATAATTATTATGTAATAGCAATGGACAAATGCATTGGCTATCTAGCTGTTATCCTTGAAGTGTTGTCATTACTCTTATTATCTTGATCTCTTTTTAAAAATCAATGATTATTATCTATTGATGAAAGTACTTGCAAAGAGTTACATGTTCTTTTTGAAGTTGTAATAAATTTATAAATTTTTAGAGTATTTATAACATAGCGCACGTGCTTTCTCTGTGTAAGTCTTATTGAGCTGCTATGAACAAATGTCCCACTGATGCATGCTGGTGACGTCAAATCCCTCGCGACAATTTTTTTTTCTTGCAGGGGACTTGAGCATTTTTCATTAAAAACCGGGAAAAACTTTGGTAATAAACTAGACATGGCAACAAGTGAACAAGTTGATGAAGATCTACCTACCTTTTTTTTGAGAAAGAACCCAGAGAAAGGGGAAGACAATCAATGCTGATTTCATTTCGTTCCTCAACTCTAGCTTCATTTCCACGCATGAATGCAGCTGTCAGTTTTTAACCAATCCGAGAGGAGATCATTGAAGCGTAGCGAAATACTTTCCCAAAACAAAATAAACCACACATTGAGGCATAGGAGAGGGAATTTCTTCCCTTTATTCATAAACTGCAGCGTGGAAAATGTTATAAAACAATTGGTTCATGTGTCAGCTGCGTATTCATGGAGAAGTTGAGCACTTGGGAAGTTTGGAGAGCACTAAAAATGTTAGAGTTGCTCGAGGCTGTGCCTCGAGCAACTCTTCTACATCTTTCGTGCTCTCCAAACTTCCTGCGCAGTTAAATCTCCATGAATGCATGCTGACGCATGAACCAATTGTTAAATTTAAACCACAACATATATACATCAGTATTGAAAAGGTGTGGCCACCTTCATTTTTTCCACTTTTTCTTCTTTTTTGATCTTTGGATCTTTTGTTTCATTTCAGGATTGGTTATCCACTTTACGAGGTTAAGCGCTTTCTTGACGAGAACAATAAAAGTCTAAAGTTTGTCATGCTCTATGACATTGCATGCATATTGTCCTCACATATGAAGGTAAACATATTTTTTGTTGTTGTTATTGTTGTTTTCTACTACTAAATTTAATAGTTATAGCTAATGGAGTGTTTCTTAAGTTCTTTATATCATTTCATTCAGTTTATATTGAAATTATATATAAAGGCTTTTTGGGTGAAGTGTCCAAAGGCAGCTATAATTTCTGTGTTTGTCATTACAATATACTAGATAATATAATGTGTGGTTAGATCACAAACTTTTAAATTTTATTCTTGTGAATATCAACAATAATAACAATAATCTCTGTTTTAGAAAAATGCACAAGAATTACTGTTCAACCCAACCCAGTTGACCTTGGGTATACCAATTTTTCACTGTTATGGTCACAAAGCTTCATGTCAGGTAACAAAGCATTCCTAATTTTAATTAATGGTAATAATAATAACTTAATTGTGATTGCTATGTATCAAATTGAAATTAACTCTTAATTCTTCAGATCAAGTATTCACCAAGACGTATTGATGGAATTGGTCTCACAGATGGTGAGGGTACTGAGAGGCTTTGGGCTTTCCTTCGTGACTATTCTAGGATAACAAAGGAAATGGCAGCAGATAAAAGAATTGATGTCCTTACTGATGGTCTTTTGCACTACGGAGATCAACTCCGTGAAAAGTTTGGTAAAGCTTGTTTAATCTATAAAGGGTCTTTTTTGAGGGTATTTACTGCTACTTCAATATAACAAATAAAAAGAAGTCAACCTGTAAATGTTATGTGTTCACTTCTTCCTACAGTTTAGTTCAAAACAGCATTAAATGCCCATATGTAACAATGTTTCATTGATTTTTTTTTTACCTAGAGGTTTCATGCACAACAGCCTTGTATGTTTCTTCATACTTTTTAAAAGATGTATATTTTGTTAAAATGAATGATGTATTTTTAGATAGTGTCCAACCATTAATTTATAATTTTAATGGACACTATCCAAAAATAAATCATTTGTGGTAACAAAATACACATCTTTTTTCGGAGAGTATGTTTTTGTTATAACTTTATTTTTAGTGTTTAAGTTCCCCTTTGTGAAATAGTATTGTTTCATAATTCATTGGATAGTTAATATTTTTCTTTCAATTTGTTTATTACAATTTTTGGAATGTTTTCAATGTTCCACAGGACCTTCGTTGAAGAGAAAGTTTAGACGAAGTAAAGAAATTCTCCAAAACTCAACTGAAAAAATTGATTCCCTGTGCAAGTCTTTGTCAGGCATGTATAATATAGCAAAGTGATATTAATTACACACTTTTTGTTATAAAATACAACCTAGTGTTGCTATAATTGTACCATAGTCATGTACCCCATCTGCAGGTATAGCTAAAATTCAAGTGTGCACAATATCTTTTAAATTAAGTGGTTATACATATGAAAAATCTCTTAGTATATTAAATATTCAGACTTTTTCTTGCTGCACAGGATGAAATTAATCCATTGTCCTTATTACACAACAGAACCTGTTACAGAGCAAGATATTGAGATGTGGATTGAGGCAGAAGTGTCAACTGAAAGCAGTGATGAAGGTATTGGAGTTAATCTGTTTTTTCCAGTATGGTGAAATGTTCACTTTGGAGCTGTCACTCAAATCTGTAGATTTGAGTAGATAGCAAAAAGTAGGGAGCAGCATCTCAACAGAAGAACCCAGCTTCTCACGAATGTTATGGACATTTCATTCTTTTATCAATCTTTTCAATGTTTTATCATGTGATATAACTGTGGCCATTAATTTTAACCAGTTGATCTCAAATTGGCATGTGTTTTGAAATGGGTTTTTACTAAAATTTAGATTGCTTGTGTTAAATGGGTACAGTCATGACTACATAGATTTGAATAGTAGTAACTAAATATACTGTATGTTAGTGCATCAAATCATCGTGGAATTATTGCAGATATAATAATTTACTAAAGTTATTTTATTTTCTATAGAGCTGGAATGGGATGAGAAGTATGTTGAAAGCCTTAGCACTGCAAACGATCTTAAGTAAGTTAAGGAATTTTGATGATGATAATGATGATTATGATTGTTATTATTTTTATTAGTATTATTATATTTTCCAATATTATTTCAATTATTCACTTTAATAAATATAAAGTTAATCATTCTCCCCAACTGCCCTTATTTAATACATCACATACATTTTGGCAGTCAAATATGGCACATTTATACCAGAGCCCGCAAATGAAATTCAAATCATTCAAGTTACGCATTGGATGATCAAGGATAATCTATACAGTACTAAACTCAAACAAATGACTGAAGTTGATTGGTGCATGGCATGTTTGAGTTTCCATGGGAGGCTTAACAATCAGTAGTAATTATCTACTATTCAGGGAAGTGATCACTGCAATAAAATGATGTTGTAGCTGATTAGTGCTGTGTTACAAGTACTTATGATACAGTATAAACAATGATAAAACTTGACATTATTATTTCTAGGTTTAAATTGCAGTCCAATTCTGAGATTAATGCTCAGGAAGTTGAATCAATAAAGAAACAGTTACAGAGGTTTGTACTGTAAATCTCACAAATAAATCTCTAATATTCATTCATCCACTAAACCTTTGTGTAACAAAAAATGTTTATAGGTAGGAAATAAATGTGAATCAAAATCAAAACAGTAAAATGTAAAAACATTTGACACTGATGTATAAACCAATTATTATTTAATATTAGATTCATTAAATTCTTCAACTGCATACTCATGTGTATGGTATTTAATCTTTTTAAGGTTCTTTTAAGGAATCAAATTTTGTGTCAAGGAAAAGTATCTTAAAAAGTAATTGCATGCTTGCTTCAGTATTTTTAGCTCAGTGCCAGTTGAGATATTTCTTTCTGATATCCTTGTTTGTAATATATTATTTAGGCTTGAGAAGTTGCAAACATCTATTGAGAGGCAACAAGGAATTCAAAGGAAGTGGACTGTGGCAAGTTCTTTGTACAAAGAAGTTCTTGCTCGCCTCAAGCTTAAACAAGGGTGTCAGTTACTCAAAAAACTACACCACCTAGCAGCGGAACGGATTTTTGTTCTGGAAATGAAGAAAAAGTATGCAGGTAAATGATAGGTTCTTGATATGACATGATAATGGTGATAAACACTCTGAAGACCAGCTTTATGTGTGTGTCTTAGACAGGTGCACAGAATGATTAAAACAGAGGCTCAGGAAGTGTCTGGCTTATCTGGGTGTGGGCTTGGATAGATTGCAGTGTAATCATAATATTTATTTAATTGCTATTTATTTACCTTATTTTGTAATCTGTCTTTGCAGATGGACAAGCTATTGCTAAAAAGCTGAACAAAGAACTTACCAAGATAACAGCCAGTGTCAAACTGCTCATACCCCAACTGAAAGCTTTGAGAACAGCTCAGTTTGGTGATCTGTCAGATGATGAAGTTTTTGTTATAGTGAAAGATCCGCAATCAACCATTTACAGTGCAGTCAACGTGGATCCTCAACGTAACACCCTAGCCCATTCTACAAAAATACAAATCATAAATGTGTTTTTGTTGAAAAAAAGGGCCAACGAAGAAATCATTCTTCTTAAAGCAGAGGTTGAAAGGTTTCAGACCTTTCTTTCTGAGGAAGTTCAGAAAGTTGATTCTTGGATCGATAAGGCTTCCACTCAAAATAATCCAAGTCACAAGAACCTTCTTCTAGTGAAGAGAGCATCCTTAATCCAAGAACTAGCAAGCCTGCAAAGACTTTGGAAGGAAGAAGTCTTGTTTGAAACAGATTATGAAGAATTGCTGAAAAGAATTTTGGATGGAAGTGGAGAATCAACACTGTCTTTACTTGAAGATGAAGCTGCAAATGATAATGATGATGTTGATGATGTCAGTAGTGTTAGGGATGAAACTGAAGCTGATGAGAACGAACAAACAGACAATCTAGATCAATGATGGTGCATTTTCATTGTAAAAATTGTTGTTATGATAATAATAAGAAGCCATTTGGTGACGATGCATAGTCGATACCTCATAAAAGATGATATTTTATAACTATAATTACTAACTCACATGAATATTATAACAACATGACTTAAGTGAAACATTTGGGCCAATACAATTGCAGCTTCCATTGTAATGCAATAAAACCTCTTGTTCAGAGAACCTAGATTTTTTTCAAGTCAGCTTGAACAGGTTCCTAGTATATAAATGGTGCTTGACTGAAAATCAGGTTCGCTAGGTTCTTAAATAGGTTTCTTAATTCTCGCTAATAAAAAGTGTACTTGTATAAATGATTTGTTTTTCTGCTTTTTCATTACCTTTTTCTATCTCTTTCCTAATGTTCGCAAGGGCGGATACAGGGAGGGGGAACGGGGTGACTTGTCCCTCCCTCTTCCACATGAATTACAATAGGAATAACAATGCCTATCCCAAAAGAATGAGAGCTTTTGATCTTAATTAAAGAAAAGTCCCCCTATTGTGATTTTTTTTGCTGCATCCGCTACTGGTTCTACTCTTAAGAACCTGTCCGGATGAGCACACAGCTTTATATCCCTGTAGGATCGATGTTGGATAGCGTTAATGATTGAACGTTCATTTAGTATCTGTATAGTCTGAGTATGAATGGAAACTGAGACAAAGTCGGAAATAAAGTTGAATAGGATACCCTTCGCGAACCTTGAAAAAGCATACCGTGTTCAGTGGATCATCCCATACAGTCATATATGTCTTGAAAGTGACTTCTGCTGATAAGAAAGGTTGCGTCTGATTTGAAATAGCTAGATCAGAGGTGCATGCATCGCCACTTAGAAAATGAAAATACGCAAGTATTTGTAAAATGCGGTAGTCGCGTGCGATGTCTAATACTAGGGACTTTAAACAAACCACGACGGCTACGGGAACGAGAACGCGTGGAAAAACAGTAGATCTAATTGGCAGAACAATAGCCCAGTACGTGCGTTTTAAAACTTTGTACATTTCTTAGACGTCCTTTGCAAAACAACAACGTGAAATCACCAAAATTTGCGTCGTATGCGAAGCGAAACCGCGGCGAAAAATTCTTTTGGACCTCAACTCTACTTGTATGCGTTATGTTGAGTTTGAGATCTGGCGCCCTATGAGGCGGTAAACACATGCAGCCATTTTCGAAATTCTAACTAAAAGTAGAAACTCAGTTTTTAATCAACGTCTTCCGTGGCGTTGCCGTCCTGACTGCTTAAAGTCTCTACTGGGAGCTTTTCTACGGGTAATGTGTGTTAATATTAACATTGATTTTACTGTATACGTTTTAACATGATCAGCATGGGAAAATCACCTGTTCACGTTATGGTGATATACGATCCTGATCGATATGACTATGTTAGCATGTATTGACAAAGGACGTTATTACACGAAGATCGATAACAAAATTAGCACACTGAAAACAAAATTAGCACACATACAAAATCAGCACGTTAACACAAGAAAATCATTTGGAGCGAATTTCATCGACATATTTAAACCAAAAACAGTCTTTCAATATTTTTTGCTTTGTTAGCTATAATTGTTTTGCAAAAAATTAAGAGCTTTCGGAGGAATTGTGCAACGCTCGTACTTATGCCACGGGACTTGCGTTCAGTCAATACTGTTACATGAACCTTACCGACCAAACAGCGCAAATGATACGATATGTCCTTAAAACAATCTTTTTATTAGGGCATCCTTTTTATTCGGTCTACACCATTTAATATTAAAGAACAAGCAATGAAAGACATATTTTTTACTTTTAAAATATCAGTAACAAAATTGACACACACATACAAACATAGTTAGCCCAACTCAGTGATCTCAGGGTTGTTTCAGGTTGTGTCATATTAATCAAGACATACCAAATTGATAATATACGTAATGCGATATTGCAATTTTTAATGTCGATAGCCGAAAGGTTATAAATGTTTGGAATCAGCCATGCATCAAGCGTGCAATCTGTCGCATAATATCTAGTCCGGGCGCTAGTATTATGCACGGGACTCATGATATCTATTACGTACAATTAGAGCTTTAGAGTGCGAATGAAAATTGAACAGTCACCTTAGATGTGTCAGGATTTGTTAAAGAAAAAATAAAGCTTTCAGGGCCTTATAGGTAAAAACTTATATTTTAAAGATTATACGTTGCTTTACAGGTAGCCAGTGAAGCTCTTTAAGGACTGGCGCAATTCGGTCATATTTTCGAGTGGCCGGACCAACACTCAAGGCCGGACCAACAATCAAGGTCGGACCAACACGCAAGGTCTTAAAATAATTGAGAAGAATATGCTGCCTTTCTATAACATCAAGAAATGGTTTAGATATTCTAGTCTTCTCGGATAGGGACGAATAAATGGAGGT